AGATCTACAGAACCTACCATCAACGACAACTACAAATGATTTTTCCCACCATGGAATTTCTACTTATTTAGTCTTCTTGTTCATTTTCCTCCATAAATTTTCTTTTTTCCTTTTTTTTTTTTTGCTCTATCTATTTCCACTCATTGAACACTTGTTATAGTGTTTTAAGACTCAAACTAGACACACAATCGGAATGGGTCACAGGTTAAATGGTTTGATTGCATGTTGTAACAAAGTACAAATAATAGATTTTGTAATTTATAATTCAAATCTATGTGTGATTGGATGGTGAAAGTATTATTTTTAACATAAATGGCCAAGGTTCAATATATATCTATATCTATATCTATATGTATCTATCTATCTACCTACCTACCTCTATATATATATATATATATATATTAACGGTTTGGTATCTCCCGATTTGTATTTTAAGGCTTATGTGGATCATTGAAACTCGACCAGTTTTCAACGATTTCATTAGGTTTTAACTGGTTCTTCCAGTTTTTCAAAAACATGAAAATCGGGGTTAAAAACCCGAAATGCCTTCTGGTTCTCGAGTTGAACAGTCTAATTGTCTGGTTTGGTCTAAGTATTAAAACATTGACTTGTTGTAATTGATCAAGATTTAAACTAGTCATCTTAGCTAAGAAGACAAGCACTAGTGATCATTACAAGCAACAATTAAGTCATTTTACAAGGTCTTTATACTCAATCTATCTTTGAAACCCTGAATCATTCTTTTGAAGGGTTTATTTTTTAACCCTGAAAGTATTATACTCTCTTTACAAGGTGATTGTTAGTAGTGGAGAAGGAAAGCAACGGAAAACCATATCCTATTAAGGAGTTAAGCATCTTGACATTTTTTTCCATCAAATCCCTGAATATCTTTGTAGAGTGATTGTTAATAGCAGAGAAGGCAAGCAATGGTTCACAAGATAAAGTTAAAAAGTGAGGGGAGATAGGTGGTAGGAGTAGATATGATTTTGGGGAAGAAAAAATAAAGGAGATTGTCATAGGAAGACATGACTTGAGTTTGGGGTGCTTGATGAGCCTAGATTTCCTACTCACTTTTTCTGCTCACTCTGTACTCGCCATGAATTGCAGCCACACATCTCTTAATTCATAATAGAGATGTGTGGCTCCAATTCACGGAAGATAGAGAATGGGTAGGCAAAGTGAGTAGGAAATCCCGAGTGATTGGACAGGGTTGTTGATGAGGACCTTGTGAACATGGCATTGGTTAAATCTTCTGGATTTAGCACAACAAAAAACAAATAGAAAGATGGAAAAATTGACCACTTTGCATTAAACAAACCTGGGTAGGTGATAATTGATTATTGGGCTGACTGCTATACCTTAGAATATTTCATTTATTTACTCATGTTATCCATTAAGACAAAGCTATTAGGCCATAGTTGAACTAAAGACTTGTTGCTTTGTCATTTAGGCTCAGTTTGGAAGGAGTACAAATATAAATTTGTAGAGTGCAAAACCTTGTATTTTGTATTATTTTGTATGTATTTGTACAGTACATATTTGTATTTGTACTCCTACCAAACTGAGCCTTAACAATGGGATCTACTATGAATACTAATGTGTCAAGTAAGCTATATGATCAATCACGAATGGACACACCAGCGTTTCATACACATGGGACCCACATGTGGTGTAGAACACTGGCGTGTTCACTCATGATTGGCCACATAGCCTAGTTCACACATTTTTTGTTTGTAGTAAATCGCTGTTTTATCATTTGGGGGTGTTTGCCAATTTGTATAATTAGGTGCTTACAAGTTACAATCTCCTTAAAAACCTATTCACTCTTCCCTCAAAAGCTTTTTAGTTCAATCACTTCAGCTATTATGGTAACTTGGTAAGCACAATGGATGATCATGGATTGGGCTAGGCCGAAACTCAATTAGGTTTTCATAGGTAAGAGAATTTGGAGGTGCTTGAGCTTACATCAGCCCACTTCCTAGGCCTAGGCCTGATAATCTAATAATATGTGTCCAGCCTTGGGCTTGCTCACATCACTTAATAAAACCATTTAAATTCAAAAACTCTTACAATTTAAAGCCATGTTAATATTCAGTTGATTTTCTAAAAATAGTATATAGTATTTCATTATTTCCATTTTTTTTGTTAGCTAAAGAAAATGATTCATTAACTAAAACCACAAACTAATACAAGAGAAGTTGAACAAAAAGGCAGAGGCACACCCTCCCAATACAAAAGCCCACAAAAAGACTTGACCTCCCTAGCCATCATGTGAGTAGGCATCAATTAGGTTATATTTACAAGCACAAAAGAAGCAGAGTTAAAAAATTTTCTCAAAGAAATAATTTTGTCAACAATCTCTAAACATCTCCACAAAAAATCTGAGTGAAGACTATTGAAGGTATGAATTACCACACAACAGTCCAATTTAACAACACAAAAAAACCCTTTAGAGCGAGCAAACTCCATAGCCTAATAGATAGCCTCCACAGAACCACCTTGAATTAAGCATTGCCACCTGCAGCAGCTAGAAACAGTCCATTAGTCACCAAACAAACAAAACCAAAAGAGATTAGTAGAGTGGAAAGAACACTTCCATCACATAGGAAAATACAACAAGGATTCACCTACGCTGACGTTACAAATACCTTAGCATTTTTTATGGTGGCTCCTTATTACTTGACTTATCCTCAAACTTCAAGCATTCCTCGTAAATAGATCTAACTTTACATTCAAACCCATCAAATCTAAATGTCTATCTTGAAAAACACAAGCATTTCTAGTGGCCCAAATATAATAAGACCCAATAGCCAACTACAATAAAAACCCAATTTCTTCACTCTTAAGACTCAACCGATTCGAACAGATTCAAGACTAAAAATTAAAATTTCCCCCGAAATTGTAAATCCATCCTAAAACCCCAAGGAGAGGAAAACCAAACAATTCTAGCAACAGGACAAATAAAGAAAAGTGTAAAGCATTGCCACTAGAATTCTGGTAAAAAAACACAAGAGAACAACCCAAATAACCTCTAGACAACATATAATAGACCCAACTGAAACAAAATTTTAGTCAAAGAGATAAGTTGGCTATCCAATCTATATGATATCCTTTCCCAAATAGAGAGTTAAAACCTTGGCTCTAGCCACAGTCCACACAAAACAATTATCCTGAGGATTGGCAAAAATATGAGCATCTGTAACATAATTTAACCATCTAGATCCCAAAACATTAAGGTTCCTCTCCTCTTCTATTCCATTGACCTTGACTATCCATCAAATACGAGATTTTTAAATGAACCCATTGCCTACAAACTAGGCTAGTTGGTGCCTTAAACTCATTACTAACTTTCACTCAAGGAACATTCTAGAGGCTAACATTATCTTGCACTAGAACCTTACACCTTAATTGGGGATCTAAAAGAAGTAAACATTTAAACAAATATTTCCACCCCTTAGAACAACCAAATTTAAGTCTCATGAGGAAAAAAAAAGATGAGAAGATGAATATTTAGCCCTTAGAAGCTTAACCTATAATATATGATCATGATTCAAAAAAACCTAGGCCAATTTTAATTGAAAAGCTAAATTAACCTCAAAAGCTTTTTAAAGACCCAACCCTCCTTGGAATTTAGGAGAGCAAATATGTTCCCAATTAGACTAGGCAAAACCCTTCTTATCTTTTCCAAAATTCCAACCAAAATTCCTTTGAATTTAATCAATTTTATCATTCCTTTTCCTAGGCAACTAGGTCACAGACATACTATGATTATGAATTGATTGAAGAGTAAACTTCAAAAGTACCAATGTAAAGGATAAAGAAACCTGTATATATATATATATATATATATATATATTAAAAAACAAAGGAACACCCAAATATTTGATATTACATCTATATTACCAAATCTCAACTGCCTACATAAAAGTTTTTTGCCTTTCTGATGAACATTGACATGGATTGGAAACGACAAACCACATCCAAAAGTTAGCCACTTCCTCTCTAGACGCCTTAAGAAAAATAAAAACAACATCTGCAAACAATAAGTGAGAAATAGGAGGAGCATTTTTAGAAACTTTAACACCACAAATTCTTCCCAAAGGTTCCCTTTTTTTAAGAGTCAAGAAAAAACCTCTATACCCAAAATGAAGAGAGCGGGAGATAAAGGATCTCTTTGCCTAAAACCATGGGTAGAAATGATATACCTCTCCATTGAACCATATCAAAATAGAATAAGACATAGTGGAAATGTAAAAATAAATCAACTCACACAACTCACTTGAAAAACCCAAGGCTTTCATAAGTGCAATAATAAAATCCCATTCAATATGATCATAAGCTTTCTTCATGTCTAATTTTAGAGCCAAACATCATAATTTACACCTTTTCGTATAATGCAAAATCTTTTAAGCAATAATTACATTATCCATCAATTGTCTTGGGACAAAAGCATTCTGATAAGAAGAAAATACTCAAATACATTTATCCAAAAAGGATTTTAACCTTGATACCAGAGTGTTTTAGACAAAATTTTATAAACAACATTTACGTTATGTTTGGTTTGAAGGAAAAAGGTGGAAGAGGCAGGAAAAGAAAGAGAAACCAATACAAGGTTTGTAAAGATTTTCTTACCTTTTTCTTCCTTTCCCTACATTTTCCTTCAAACCAAACATAGCATGGGCCTCACCTGCATTATATGTGGGCTTGACGTGGGCCTGGAAATTTCTTTCCTGGACCGGGCAATGCGGGCCGGGTGGAAAATCCCTACACACTACACACCAACCTAATACAAAGAAATAAGCTAAATCCGTTGGAGCGCTGGGCTAAAACCGTTAAATCACGGCTCTCGATGATGGGCCACATCAACCACATCAATTCATCAAGGGTCGTGATTTCACGGTTTTATCCCTAGGCTACTCCAACGGGAGTGCCGGAGTGGCTGGTTTTTAAGCGCCCGATACTTATTTTGGTCTTATGTTGAACACACGCTACCCACACAGTGCGTTTAGCATCCCCGCCCACATATCGGGAACGCAGTTGCCCAAAAACGATCCCAAAAGCAAAACCCGAAACAGATCCAAAATCGCGAGTCATTTCTGACTTTAGAGAGAGAAAGAGAGAAGGAGAGAGAGTGAGAGATGGGGCTGGGGTTGCTGGCTCTCCGATCTTCAAGAGCTTCTGCACTGAGTCGCTTTTATAGGGTTCTAGCATCTCAGAACCCCTGCAATGGCGTCAGAGGGATTGTTTCTACACCGGAGCTTCAAAACGCAGAAGCGGCTGCAGCGGCAGCACAACCAGAACCAACACCTGTGATCCCTCCTCGAACCCCAGTCGCCGGAGCTAGGGTTCAGTTCGCCAACCCGGAAGACGCGATCGAGGTCTTTGTTGATGGATATCCTGTGAAGATCCCCAAAGGGTTCACTGTCTTACAGGCTTGTGAGGTGGCTGGAGTTGATATTCCTCGTTTCTGTTACCACAGTCGCCTATCCGTTGCCGGTAATTGCCGTATGTGCTTGGTCGAAGTCGAGAAATCGCCCAAGCCTGTAGCTTCCTGTGCCATGCCTGCGCTTCCAGGTTAGGGTTCTAGTGCAGTTACTTGGTTCCATTGGTTGCATATATTTATTTCTTTTCGATTCCGATTTATGTGAAGCTGCTGGATATAGGGATGAAAATTAAGACGGATACACCGGTTGCAAAGAAAGCGAGAGAAGGGGTGATGGAGTTTTTGTTGATGAATCATCCTTTGGACTGTCCAATTTGTGATCAGGGTGGAGAATGCGACCTTCAAGATCAGTCCATGGCATTTGGATCTGATCGAGGCCGGTTCACTGAAATGAAAAGATCTGTCGTTGATAAGAATCTTGGTCCCCTGGTCAAGACAGTTATGACTCGTTGTATCCAGTGTACAAGGTTTAGATTCTACACCAAATCCTTGTCATTTTTTTTTTTTTGATGAACACCAAATCCTTGTCATTGCTTCTATTCTTCTTTACATGGATTGCTTGAACCTTGAAATTGATTTTATGGAACACCTTATCATTGCTTTTAGATATTGCACGCAGATGATAATTCTTTTATTCATTTTGGCACTTCTAGGTTTTAACACTAAGAGTACCTAAATGTGTGTTTTGTTGGACATAATTGTTAATCAATACATATCATTTGTTTATATCTTAAAGAGGATGCTAATGACAATTGGTTGACAGCCAGGTTCAGATTTTATGCACGAGATGGATTGCACTGAGAAAAAAAAAAAAAAAAACATGGGTGCATGGATGTATCTCCATAAGCATTGAAGGTTTATAAATGCTAATATTAACATGGATGAAATAGGGGATTGTTGGATCTGTCACTATTCCCATTAGAATCTAAAATATAAACATTACAGTTTGCCATCTTCTATGATACTGTGATTGACCAGAGCAGTTGCTGGAAGGGAATATTGATCTTCATCCAAGTTGTTCTGCTTCTTTAAATCTATGGGATTGTAAAGTGTAGTTTTGCCTCCTTAGTCAATTCTATCATATTGTTGAGCATTTTGATTCCAATGGTCCTAATTCATTGTATTAGGGTGAGGCTAATGTAAGTGCACACATTTCTCAAATCTATTATATCTTTTAAGGCAGTTATGACTTCATGCATTTTTTTACAAAGAATTGCATACATCATAAACCTATATTTTATGATAATTGACCTATGTATGTATATGAATGCTTAATACCTCTTTTATTGAAACTAGAGAGCTTGTAAAAATTATTTGGCCCATCAGCTTCAAGTCCTATATTCTGATGTTAGAGGCTAGAAATTTTGGGGGCTTCTCCTTTCTGTTCTATATAAGAGTTTGCTTTTTAGGTCTACTATGAATAATTATGACTTAGGAGCAATTAGTAAAAGATGTTATAGTCAATATGTTCATTTTTGTTATTCTTTTAAGTAACTTAAAGATTTATCTTTAGTGCCTTGAGAGAGCTCTGTGTAATTTTTCCTTTTTAATATGAATGTGGTTGCCTTGTCATTAGCATTTCCTTTCTTTTTCTTCCCACCTAAGTTTCTAAAAGGTTTGGATTATTATTAGCCTGGCATCCATTCTTTTATTTTTGGTTATTGTTCCTGTGCGGGTTAAAAATCTGCATGTTGGTCTGCTTCATTCTTGTTTCCATAGTTTTCAAGGCGCCAAGGCGAGGCTAGGCGACCATGGGGCGCCCAGGCGTCTAGGCGCCTAGCCCTCGCCTAGGTGATAGAATTTAAAACTAAGGTTTCCGATGGATTTCTACCCTTTTGAACTAGTTTTTTTTTTTTTTTTTGGATTTATGTATTCTGCACTTACTTTTGTGCTTGGAACTTGAAAGAACTGAAGGGGCGGAGCCCCTATTTTAGATCAACAAGGAGCAAATACTAAAATAAAAGAAGAAAATGAAAAAGAAAAGTAGGGGGCGGAGCCCCTGTTCTAGACCCAGAAAATCTGGTGAAAAAATATTAAAATAAAAGAAGAAAAGAAGGGACGGAGCCCCTGTTTCAGAAACCAATGATGAGAACAAACAAAAGCTGAAAAAAATGGAAGAAATTAAGAAAAAAAGAAGGGGGCGGAGCCCCTGTTTTAGACCCAGAAAAGATGGTGAAAAAAATATTAAAATAAAAGAAGAATATGAAGAATAAAAGAAGGGGCGGAGCTCCTGTTCCGCCCCTGTTTCAGACACCAATAATGAGAAAAAAAAAGCTGAAAACATGCAGGAAATTTAAGAACAAAAGAAGGGGGCGGAGCCCCTGTTTTAGTCCAATAAAATGATTCAAAAAACTTGGAGAAAAGATACAAAAAGAGGAGAAAATGGGGCGTAACCACTGTTTTTAACCAGGAAACAGAGAAGAAGAAGAAGGATTAACTCACCTTGACTTTAGAGGACTGTGTGGGAACGATGGAGGCTGTTGTTCTCTCGTCTTCCTCAGTTCGATACTTCGATTCTATTGTCAATGTGAAACCCTTGAAGATTAACTTTGTTTTTACTTTCCTCAATACAAAAGCATGACAACATGCAATAGGATCTATTATAATAACTAAAACAACCAATAAAATATTATATATTATATATTTTTTTTTATTTAATAAATATTTATATAAGCATGCACCTAACATAGTTGGCGTTTGGGCGAGGCGTTCTTTGAAAAGTGCCTAGTCACCTAGGCAAGGTGTCACCTTGACAACTATGCTTATTTCTTTTTTGAAAGAAGATGATATTGTATCCATAAGGGAGAGGGGGAGATTCCCTCAAATGGGAGGATTAAGAAAGAACAAGGAAGAAACCGACATTGAAGGAATTTGACTTTTACAAAACAAAATTGTCTTCCCTGATTATCCTGCCCCACTAGTTGCTGTAGTGATTATACTTGATTCCCACTAAACAATTGATGGTTGATTCTGACCCGATGAGGCATCTCTCAGTGCTCCCAAAAAACGCCCTCAATTCTGGTATTGGAGTCTTAGAATGATCTGTTATTATGCTCCCTCCAAATGTTCCAGCAGATAGCTGAGGGAACCATATTCCATAGAACTCTCCGATGTTTACTGACAGCATTAGATTGCCAAGATGAGATCAGACTCTGAAGATCAATGGTAATCACCAGCTGAAAGCCAAATAACTTCAAAGCATGACACCAGATGTTATGAGTGAAACTAAAATGAATAAGTGCTGGGTGTTTTCCTCTGCTGCACCTCATAAACAACACTGATTTATAATGATAATGTGTTTGAACTGCAGATTGTCCATTGTTGGTATGCTTCATTTTTTATCATCCAAAAGTTATATGAATTTGAGATTTCTGTGGTACTTGGGAAAATAGTTGTAAGGGGCCGTTCATAATAGTTGAAGTGACTGAATTGAATGACTTACTGCATTGTCATCCATACAAAATGACTTATTGCCTTGTCTTTTAGTGAATAAGTTAAGGTTTTTTATTTTTTTATTTATTCTTTTATTTTTGAGAAATGATGAATATTATTGATAAAAGGTAGGGTAAGGCTGCTGAGGGAGAGGTTTCCTCAATAGCCAGATCCAAGAAGCTAGGCAACAGGCTAGACATTATACTGAGAAGTCATCTTTCCACAAAATAGCATTCCAATGATTAACAAAATGTTTAAAATGAAAACCCTGAAGAGGTCACTAATGGAGGCCCATTCAACCAAGGTTTTTTCAGCAACTGCACATACTTTCTCAGAGGACCAGTTTTATCTTCAAACAGGTGTCTGTTCCTCTCTTTCCAAATGCACCCACAAACCACCAAAGGAGATGTTTTCCACAGGACCTTACCCTTCTTGGAAAAAGCCTGACCATGCCAATGAGACACAGAGGGAAGCTGAGTCTCGGGAGTAACCCAGTTCATGCCAAACAGACTTAAAACATGAGCCCAAAACCTTGTGAGAGCAGCTACAGAGAACTAGGGGTGCAAATGGACTGGATCATGATCTGATCCGATCTGATCATATTTTTGTCGAATTCGGATATCTCCTTGTTGGATTTTCAGATTGGATCGGATAATGGGTTCCAGTTGAATATCGGATCACCCCTATTCGTCTGAAAGAATCTGATATATATTGCACTTTTGTAACTTTTTATAAAAAGACAGTATATATTAATATATATGATGAAATTAGTCGAAAAAATACTTGTATTTTTTTTCTTCATATAAATTGTTATGCCTTTTTTTAATAATTTATTAAAATTTTCAGAAATTAAATTGGATTGGATCAGATTTGGATATCCAACTTCCATCAGATTTAAATTGACATTGGTGAGATTTGTCCAGGTCTTCGGATTTCGGGTATACCCTGATTTAAATCCGATCTGATCCATTTGCACTCCCTACAGAGAACAAGGAGATGCTGAGCAGATTCTTCATCTTCCCTACATAAACAACAGTGAATGACAAGACTCATTCCTTTTTTCCTCCCCTGGACCTTGCTTTTAAGGAGGTTGTAAGCTCTTTAGTGGCTGAAGCTGAAATTGGATTGGTTATTATACCTTTGATTATTTTATTATGTAATTATCCTATCTACTAGAAACTTAGAAAGCAATGCAATAAGTTTTTGTCCCTTCATCTGTTATTAAACAGCCCCTAAAGTCAATGTTATTTGTTGGTTCAGCTATGTGGCTTTTAAAGGAAGATGGTTGAATTTTCATTTTTGACATCTTTATGAGAAGTAGTTCAGCAAATTTGTTTTGATATGGTAACTTATCAAAAAAAATCTTTTGCTATAGTAGTACAAACAATACAAACAAAATGGTTCTTCTTGAATCATTAAACAGAATTTTCATGGGAGGTAGTTGTTTGTTTTAACAGGTGTGTCAGGTTTGCTACTGAGGTTGCTGGCGTTCAGGATCTTGGCATGTTAGGCCGTGGAAGTGGAGAGGAAATTGGTACTTATGTTGAAAAACTGATGACAAGTGAACTCTCAGGAAATGTTATAGATATCTGTCCTGTGGGAGCCCTCACGTCAAAACCTTTTGCTTTCAAAGCTCGTAATTGGGAGTTAAAGGGCACAGAGAGCATTGATGTCACAGATGCAGTTGGTTCCAACATCAGAATTGATAGTAGAGGTCCAGAGGTCATGCGCATTGTCCCACGACTAAATGAGGTTAACTTTAGTTCTTTCATCCTAATGTTTCTATTTTCCTCCTTAAGTTTATTGTTTTGATTATGCCATGGTATTTTCTTCCTTAAAATTTGTTAAATTTTGTTACCAATTTGAACTGGAATTTGTGCAGCAAATATTAGTTCTCTATGAACTTGGCAATTTTCTGATTCCTCCCCCAGTGAGACCTAGTGGTTGTACCACCACCTTTACAATATCATTTCTAAAGTGCTCTCTCCTTGATTGACAACTATGTTATAGGCCTTACGTGCACAACTTGGGGTTTTATAGAACTCTGTCTGATCTAAATTTAGTATACCCTTGATACTAACTGGTTTCTCCTAGCAAATTTTTAAGTGCTATGGATTGTGCCATTAACTCATTATTTAAGCTCATTTAGTCATCTTAATAGTTATTGCGTTCCATGTCAAATGAAAGAGACATTTTCGTTTGATTCTATGCTTGGTGTATTGGCATGGTCCCATGACATGACATGGCATCGTGTACAATGTCATGAAATTACATGTACATCATTGTAAGTTTTGCACCATTTCCTATCATTTTGAAAGATAAAGAAATGTAGGCAAAACCACTTGTTTTGATTGGTATGTAGACACAACTACCTTCAACTTTGTATTAGAATTGTATAATTTCTGTTTATATTAATTAAAATTTCCGTTGTTGCTGATCAGTAAAAACTACTTTTAGCTTCTATGTTTGTATGGATCATAACATTTCATAATTAATAATATATATTTTTTTATCATTAACAGGAACCCATTAGATTAATACAAAATGTAGTTACAGCACTCTAGAGAGAGATAAAAAGGCTTAACTCTCTCCAGGAGGACAACAAAGAAAAAATTCTAGACATTGTTAAAAACTGAAGTGAGAAGTGAGAACAATGACTGAATCAGTGAAGGGAGGAGAGGAGTATAGGGCAGAGCCCTGTTTTTTCAAAAAAATAAGCAAAAAAAAAAAAAGATGATGATGATGATGATGAGTGGAGAAAGGGAGGACTGAGGAGTATAGGGGCGGAGCCCCTGTTTTTTTCGAAAAAAAGTGAAAAAATGTCTGAGCTGAGAAGAGAGAACTCAGGACTGATTTGACTGAAATCTGGAAAAGAGAAGAAGAAGACTGCCGGAGCCCCTGTTTTTTCGAAGAAAAAAGGGAAAATGTCTGAAATCTGAAGAAGAAGAAGAAGAAGAAGAAGAAGAAGAAGAAGAAGAAGAAGAAGAAGAAGAAGATTAGAAGAACTTACCTGCTGGAGCTAAGGTGCGATGGAGTTGGGCTGGGGCTTGAAGCCTTCAGTTCTCCTCTCCAATTGAACCAAAAAAACCCTTATGACATAAAGAAAAAACAGGTTGTATACTTGGTCTTAATAATAAAATGATATCATGTAACCAGATTTATTTTAAAAGAATAAAACATCCAATAAAATATCAAAACAATAACTTTAAAAAATATCAAAACAATAAATTAAAAAAAAAGTTTTTTAGATGAATGTAGGTGCCTGCCTAGGCGCCTAGGTGCCCGCTTAAGTCTCTGGGTGGGTGCCTAATATGCAAAACTTATGACGTTTGGGTGAGGCGACCATGAAAAGTTGCCTAGTCGCCTTGACAACTATGAATATAATACATTTCTGATTTTCATTGCTTAAAATTCTAGACATCGTTTATCTTTGTACATGTGTAAACTATGTCTTTGTTAAAATTTAAAATTTATATTATATGTTGAGCCTCTTTAAACTTTTATATGAGAAGACTGAAAGGTTCAGTTTTAAATCTATATGGAAAAATTTTGATAGTGAAACTTCATAAAAGATGGATGTTGAATTAATCTATTGAAGGTTATGGAAATTGGAGACCCCATATAGTTCAGATTAAGGTTACGGTCTTATGAGTTACAGAATAACACTGCGAACTTTATCAAACTATTGAAATACAACTATAGAAAAAATAATATTCAAAGAATCAATACACATGAAGGATCCATTGCACAATCAAAACCAACAAAAACAAAATTCAATCATGTAGATGTAGCAAATCACATGTATTCTTCTACATTTTTGACAATGTAAAGACTGACCAATATATTAAGACGTGGTCCATTGCCATGATCATAAATTAATATAATTTCTTTACATTCATATGGAACTCCTAATTTGTTGTGCATCCCTTTACTTATTAGCTTAACACCATGGTTTAAAATGTTGGTGCTGCTGGAAATATTTTTTTTTATTGGAAATGGTAATGTTCATTAAAACAACAATTAAACACATACAAAATCAACCACTCACCACATGAGTGTTGTCCCCAAAAATATTATAAAATTTACAACACAACCCAAAATAGGTTTTCCCTGAGGGGTCCCCTGCTTTGCCAAAGTATTAGCCAAAGCATTGGCTGACCTCCTTGCCTACTTGAAGATTACTCCAGCTTCCCTTGCTAAGCAAAGAATCTCCCTCTTTTGCTGTCTAAAGGTCCATACCCACAACCCCAAGCTTTTTGTCTGCAGCCAACCCATTAACAGTTTAGAGTCTCCCTCCACCTCGAAATTTTGAAATCCACATTGCTTGGCCAGCCTCAAACCTTGAAGTAGGGTCATAAGCTCAGCTCTTAAAGAATCTCCCACTTATGGAGCCAGAGGATAGTGCTAGCAGCCTGCCCTCCTGTCCCTGAATACTCCCCCAACTCTAGAGGGCCCCTGGGTTGCCCAATGAATTTCCATAGTTCAATTTTACTCTTTGTTATGCTGCGGTTGTCCATTGAGCCTGAACCACAACCTTTGCAGTTGAAAACTTTGCCACTACCGGCCTCCTCCTAAAGATACCCTATGCTGAATAATCTTTGAATAAGTCAGTTGCTTTCAGCCAGTGTTATGACCTTAATAAGTATGCAGTCAATGACTTGCTCCTTAGTTCTCTATTCCCCATAGAAAATTCTATTATTCCACTCTTCCCATAATGACCAAAGGATAGCTGCTCTTGTGGCTCTCCAGATCACCCTTCCCCTTTTCTTTGGTATTGTGAAGAAACTTGGTTCAAATTGACTTTCCACATCTAGAGGAGGGATCCACCTGCAATCACAGGGAGAAGAAAACCAAATATTGTAAAAATGGTGGTCTATATGTTAGGAGAGAAACTCCAGAATTTTTCATAACAAAGGCAGTCAAGGGGAAGATGTATGGCAAGAAATCGTGGGAAAACTGTTTTCTTGCTCATTGGCTCAGTTTAACTTAAATAGTTCAGACTTTAGTTCCCTTTTTGATTATGTAAATCTTTTTGTAAATGCTGATGGGATAGTGACTTAGTCTTTGTATGGTTCTCCCTGTTACAGCCTCTGGCTGTACAGGGTTTTATTTCTTTTAATGAAAATCATACTTTACCTCTTCTCTAAAAAATGTAAAATTTCTAGACATGACATTGTGAAATATGTGGAGATCCAAAATGATATTTTATGAAATGCTAAAAGAAAAATAGGTACACCCTTTTAGATTGTTATCTTGTTCCAAACTATCAAACAAAGCCAAGAATCTGAGGTTTATAGACAAAATGCTACTAAGTTTTCTTGTAGACTTTAAGTTAAAACTACACAATAGAGTAAATTCAAGCAAATCTTGAACTCATAGAAAGTGCAAATAATTCTATTAGACCAACCAAGTATTCAGTTATACAAACAAAAACTAAGGTTTAGCATCACCACATCCAACAAGAATATAAACCCAACTCGTAGTGGTCATTATTTGCATTAGGTGGGCAATAATACTGCTAATCCATCCACATATCAACAATATTGTTGCCAACTTTATGTAATAAGATATTGTGTATTCCACATGCTGCTGGGAGTTTTCATTGACAAATATGTTGATGCCAGTAAGATTTCATGACTCATGGAAATGGAAATATGTTGTGAAAATATTCACAAATATGTGGACATTTTAAACTATGGTTAGCATTAGTGTTTATTATTTAAAAATTAAATTTTGTAAACAATATTATGATTGGAAAGCATTAAATACATTAGGGCCCATCCTGGATCCCAATTAAATGATCAAACTTTGGCCTGATTAAAGCCTAGAAAAGACTGGTTGAATGTTTTTTTTTCCATGTTCTTTCATGAGGATCCTCCTATTTTAGCAAGTTTCTGAGTCAAATTCTGCCCTGGTTCTGATTGCCTGCTTTTCTGATAAGCATCTTCCACTTTGCAAAGCTTATGCATAGTTTATTTGGTGATTATTGATTTTGTTTCTTACATGGTACTTTCATCACGATACCTTATTCTTTTGTTTTGGAAACTTAAGGAGTGTTCTGGTGTTGTCCACCTAACCTTGGGGGTGTCGTTAGATATAATGGTCATTTTAGCATCTTCAATTAAGCACTTTGACTAAGGATATCTTCTCAGCCTGCTTCCTCTTTCTCTTGTAGGATATTAATGAGGAATGGATATCAGATAAAACACGTTTCTGTTATGATGGCTTGAAAAGGCAGAGACTAAATGACCCTATGATTCGTGGCTCTGATGGACGCTTCAAGGCTGTAAGCTGGCGTGATGCACTTGCTGTGGTTGCTGAGGTTGTCCACCAAGTTAAGCCTGAGGAAATTGTTGGTGTTGCTGGTCAGCTTTCTGATGCAGAATCCATGATGGCACTGAAAGATTTATTGAACAAAATGGGGTCAAACAATGTTTGGTGTGAAGGAAATGGAAATCTCCCTCAAACTGATTTGCGTTCAGGCTTCCTTTTGAACAGTAACATTAGTGGTCTTGAGAAGGCCGATGTTTTTCTTTTGATTGGTAGCCAGGTATCGTCATGACATCTTTATACCTTCTTTAAATGTAGTGAAATTATGTTTTCATGAACTTGTTCCTCCCAACCACAGAGAAAAATGGAAAGTATAAAAAGGAGGAAAGAAAAGCTTCCTTTGCTACTTTGCTTGAAAATACACAATAAATAGCTCACATTTAGGTGCAGTTTGAATAGAATTTCAATTATTCAAATAATTGGACATATTCCAACTATTTAAATATCTCAAATATTGAGTAGACCACAGAAAAGAAAAAGCGTATAGGAGGAGATGATCCTTGTAAGATGGAACTATGTTTGGCATGTAATCATAGATTGCAGACTCACCAGGTTGACTTGATTCCTAAGCCTGGGGAGTTGAGTCATGGTGTTAACATAATATACAGTATATGTGTTTGCGCTTACATAATTGGTAAGGATCTTGATCGGTCCGAACAAGTCAGCTCACTTCTGACCCTATTATAATTTGGAACTCAAAGTGAACACTCTGAACCAATCCTATTAATAATTGGAACTAAAATTCAGACAGACTCAGTCCCTATGAAATGGGTTTGGATCAGTTTGGGTCTATCAGGTTGGCCTGGATGACAGCCTACATATGCACCAAGAGAAAATTATGAGCTTATCTCTTTTCTTAAACTTATGGTCCCACATAATCTCCTATCTACATTTTCTAGATAGAGCTTTACCCAAAGTTATGAAATTATGATTTGTGTAACTGTTTTATGAGAATGTGAAAGCTTTTTTTTTTTTTTAAATATAAAAAATGTAATGTCATGTAAGCATATACTGACAAAAAAATGTCATGTAAGCATATGAAATACTAAATTATTACATGACTCCCTGGGTCAATTCCATAACTTCCAAGTTGGCTCCCCTGCTGACCTTGCCAAGCTGAGTCAGAAGACTGATTTGGTGAGCTATGCATGTGACAGTGCTGACCTCATGGAGGGATATTTAATAGCTATATTTGGATAGCATTCTAAAATCTGGTCACATTATTGAATCATATAAAATCCTAAAAATTCAACCATGTGAAACACTGAAATCCCATAGAATTTTGTCCAGGAGTCCAACCAGATTTTAGAATGTGAAAGGTTATTATGAAATTATGATTTGTGTAACTGTTTATGAGAATGTGAAAGTTTATTATAAATATAAAATGTAATATCACAAAAGCATCTAAAATACTAAATTATTACTTGACTCACTGGTTCAACTCCATAACTTCCAAGTTGGCTCCCCTGCCAACCTTGCCAAGCTGAGTCAAAAAGCCGAGTTGGTGAGCTATGCATGTAACAGTGCTGTCTTCATGGAGGGATGTTTAATGGCTATTTGGATAGCATTCTAAAATCTGGTTGAATTGTTGAATTATATAAAATCCACCATTTGAAATCCCATAGAATTTGTCAAAACCAGTGCTAAACTCATTGTCTAGAATCCCAGATAAAATATGTTTAAATTAAATAATTGGTTTATATTATAGAATTGCTTCTAGAATCTGCATTTAGAATCGAAAAATGAACATATTGAAATTCTTATCGGAACCCAACTCTGGAAGTTTGGACTCTGGATAGAATGGTGGTGCTAGATGATTAGTATAAAGACACAATTTTAAGAACAGAAAGACAAAAATGAGAAATAACAACTTAACAAGAAAGAAAGAACAGAGATAGAGAAGGGGCTTGGGGGGGGGGGGGCGTTGGAAAGGGAAAAGAAGGAAAATAAAATTCCAAATGCACACGATCCTTGGAGTTCTCCCAGCATATCTTGAAAGTAAAGGGTTGTGGGGAGTTTTGCATTTATTTGGGTTCAATATTGTTAAGGTTGGGTGTCTACTGTTATCTTTATTGTTTTCTGGAAATAGTGCAGGAAGGGCAAAAATGAGGCTGGATATAGGGTGCTGGGGTTGTTTGGTTTTATTTGTTGGTGGTTGCTTATCACCCCTCTTATAACCTTTTTCTTTTCCTTAATAAAATTTTCTTTTTTATTTATTACCAAAAAATGATACAAGGAAGGTGCTGAAGCCATTTCTTTTTTTTTTTTTTATGAATATCCATTTCTTCTTTGATTAGAACCTTAAAAGGCTTAATAGGAATGGAAATTGACACTTGAAATGTAAGAAAGTACATACCTAATGACATCCAAATCTTAAACTGAAGTGGGTGCCGCATTGCCTCCTAGGTAATGCATGATAAGGTGTCCTTGGTGGGGTGCCTAGCCTGAACTCCTTGACTTGTATGGAAAAGGCATTCACCTTAGTGATAAGGTGTGTGAAAAATTACAAGGTGGGTGCGGGGTGCCTTATTCTAATATTGTTGCTATAGTTGCATCTTATTAGAATGTATGTTGAATTGTTGATTTATTCTATCATATATATATATATATATATATATATATATTATATGCCTAGTCCTGTGGTTTTAATTGAAATGCAAGAGATCAAAGGTTTTGAGAACAGAAAAATAAAGAAAGGATAAAGGAGATCTCCCTACAACTACTCTCTCTCATAGTAAATAGAACAGAGGCTACATCCCTTGTTCATTTTCTCTTTTTGTTACTCTCTATCTTAAACTTTTAGTATAAAATTATACACTTCTTTAGTTGTTAATTTGATATGAAATTGCTTTACTATATATTATTTTATAATGTTATTTTTTAAAATGTTGAAATTAGTAGGTTTAAAATGCTATCTTCTTCTTTTGGATATGATGATTTGCAATGCTTTGATAGGAAAATTAATGTTTAGTAAGGAGCATTGCTATCTTTTCAATTTATATTTTTTTTTTGAAAAAAGTTAACTAATTTTATTAATGAAAGGAGAGGTACACAAGAGGGTGTACAAGTACAAAGGAGGGGTCGGACCCCTGAGAACTACACAGGAGGACAGGAATCACAGTACAATGACTCAGAATAACTCCTAATTTTGCTAGACCATCTTTTCAATTTATATTTATGCTTATTGGTAGATAAAAGTAGGGAACTGACCTATAATTTAGTTTTTTTTTTTTTTTTTAATTTTATAAAATCCTATTGCCTAGGCATCCACTTAAGCGACTAGACTAAACTAATATAATGGCCTTTTGGAGGTTGAAAGAGTCCTGAGTCCTTAACTTGGCCTTCAACTTTTTAACTTGATATATTACATTATTTCTATGAGCTGGTTGTAACCTCAGGTTCTCAGCAACCTTAGTTGTCAATATGCCAAAGTGAAGCTAGGAAAGTTCTATGTTAATTACTTTGTTCTTAATTCATAAAAAAATTACTTTCTTCTTAGTACATAGCATAATGGACATCTATGTTGAAAAAAGAGAAATGATCTTTTCTAAATAAGATAATTTTCATGCCAAAACATAGTAAATCTTCATATCTATAAGGGAATGACATTTAATCTTGTAACTTCTATGGATTATGCATATAAAGACCATAGTTGTCAAGGTGATGCCTAGGCAACAAGGCGCCCTTGGAGGCTCGCCTTATCTAATCACCAAGCAATTCTGTACATTGTGTTACAAGCAAGGTTCAAAGTATCGATAGGATACACCCGATACGGGGCGTATCGTATCTTTTGAAAAAGATATGGTCTGAAACGCCTGTTTCCAGGTGTTTCGGACCCCCAATTTTTTTAATAATAAAAAGCATGTTAAAAGCTTCCCAAAAAACCAAAATGTGAAAAAAAAACTAAAAAAAAATAAAGTTTTGGCCGTTTCTAAGTACCGATTCGATACGACTGAAACTCGTATCGTATCGATACTTTGAACCTTGGTTATAAGTACTTTTATATTCTTAATTTTTTGAGATTATAATTAATATACGTTATTAAACTAAAATATTCATTTTTGTGTTTATATACTAATTTCTTTTTATTATCTTTTTACTTGTTAGGGTTTAATCAGCACAAACATTGATACATGTTGTATTTAACCCTCAAAGACTTCAAAATCTGAACCAATAAGTAAGGAAGAACTTAAAATTTTGCCTTATTGACAAATTATCTTTTTCCTCATCTTCTTCTTCTTCTTCCACTTTTTCTTTTCTTCTTTCCTAAGGGGTTCGGCCCCTGTATTTTTCTTTTTATTCTTTTTTTATTATGAATATGTTGATTTTCTATACTTTAACATGAAGTTTATACTTCTCTTATGAAAATTATGGATAATTATCAAGGAAATATGGTTATGGAACCTAGGGAACTACCCTAGGATATATGTTTTTTTATTTGAAAAAGTCCATCGCCTAGGTGACTAGGCGACAAGGCGTTCCCCTAGCCTTGCTTTGGCACACTGAAAACTATGATAAAGTGTTAAAGACATTTTGGTAGAGTTAATTATTAGTCTTATCCATTGTCAGTAGTTCAGCTGTTTGTCTATGCCATGTCAGCTCTTGAAGGACGATTGAGGAATCTTCAATCCTTTTGATAAGTTTTTAGACTTCACATGTTATGGGTCTTAAGTCTTAACTTGATATTCCCCCAGATACTCTTAGCCTTGCCATTAGCATCTCAGCTGTTTAATTTAGCTTTTGGTCAGTCGCTACATTTTTCCTGGCATCTTCTGTGTTGATTTTACTTTATCTTTTCAATTGTTTCATCACCTTATGGTTGGGTGGTGCTTTTCATGGTTATTGTTTATCCATGAATAATTACTTCTAGTTTGGCTTCAAGATCTCTGATTTTTAATCATATGGATATTTAATGTTTATTCCTTGCATACAGTAATTTGGCTGTTTGGTGTTTTGTAAGAGTTATGACTTAGATGGTAGAACAGTTGCTTATTGATTTAAGCCATTCTGTGACTTTAGCTTCACCATTTAATAAATTTCAACTATTTTCTTTATGTTTTCAGTGCTAGCAAAGGATGTTAGATGCAACTTATTAAGCAGTTCCTTTTTACAAAAGTATTCATTTTAATTTAACAAAGCTTTTTTTGCTTTTGCCCAATAATCCAAATCATAAAATGAAAATAGTATTAGTTGCCCTCCTTTCACTTTTCTGTTTTGCTTCTCTTCCATTGGGTTTGAGAAAGAATTAATTTGTTCCTTGCCTAGGCATATTCTGGGCATCCTGAAGCACAAATTAGCCATTGTGATTGCACAAATTGTATAATCTCCCCGAGTATAAGAGGAGTCTATAGAAAGTTTGGTTCCTTATCCTGAATCACCTTATAAACCTTTTTATTATGTAAATCCAAAAGGAATACTAGCGAGAAATTGATATTGATCTTGAAATAAGTGAAGCAACATCTAGTCAGAGTGTTGGCTTAATATCCGTTGCCTTGCAACCTTACAGAATATCCAAACCTAATAAAATACCTCAACAAAATTTGGTGCCTCAAAAAATTTACATGTTCTTGTGGATATTCACAAAGAATTGTTTCTCAACAAAAGCCTTCCTAAAACAAAGGGAGTTAGAATTGATCCTAAGTGCAATGTCTGGCAGGCAAAAGAGGAAAACACTGATCAATAGACTGGTGAAAGCATTATGCCTTGGATCCACAAGACCCTCGAAGGGCAATGCAATAATATGGACTACATTGGGAAAGAACTGCTTTTGTACTTTGGTCTATTTGTCTGAATGGGAATTTATTGATGTTTCAGGATTCTAAGTGCCTCTTGTATCATCGTTGAGAGGGCTGCCAACCTCATGCCATTGTTTTCAGCCAACATCATGGGAGATTGGGAAAACAGAGGAGAGATTAGAGAGTAATGAATTTAGACAAATTACATAGGTAATATGTTCATATGAAATCCTCCAATCCATCCCTGGATTAAAAACAACTTTGTTGCTTCAGTTAGAGGCAATAATCAAGTTACATCTGGCATTATTGCAGTGCACAGGATTTCTTTTGTCTATCAGTCTATGTATGGGTAATCAAAGCAAGAAAGATAGTCTCTGTGTCAATTAGGAAGGCAGAAGGATCTTTTAAGAAAGGATCTACAATGCATGGAGGGAGACAAAAATCATCATTTACCATATCATATGCCGTACAAAATCCTATGGAGAATTAGAAACATGATTTAAGATATTAGAACCAAGGCAGCTAAGTTCCACCAGACATTCAGCAAAGGTATAGGTCTGCAACTTGGGTGGACTTGGGCTGAATATTTGCTAAAACTTGAATGGGCCTAGCTCGAGGGCCCAGGCCTGATGCTGTAAATTCTTCAAGTTGGGTACTTGACTTAGGACATTCGAAGCAACCTTGAGTGGGTTATTGAGATGATTTTAGGTGGGGAGCTTTCCCCTGCTTGTAGTCCTTGCTTTGAACCAAAAAACAAAGAATCACTTTATAAAATCTCTGCTTGTGAGCTTGTTGATAAATTTGAAAAAAAATTGTCTTGACTGCGAATGTAGTGCCCAGAAGATTATGTTCAGTGCCTGTATAATATCCAAGCTTGAGCTAATTAGCTCATTTGGTCAATATACTGTATTAAAAGGAACAGAAGAACTACACCATTGCATGTCTTAGGGACATTTTGTTCCATGAACAATACTTGCCATTGTATTATTTTTCGAACATGCCAAATAAGTAGATTACGAGTTTAATGGAAACTAGTGGTTTACCACCGAAAAAAAACAGAATTTGATGGAAACTAGTGTGTGGTGATGATGTGTATTTTCTCCAAGTGGAGTCTGATTCTGAATAATGTCTAAATCTGATAACCATACTTGGTAAGTCAAGTCCTTACGGTCAGTGATGCATTCTTTGTTATATGCACACTAAATAGGCTATTTTGTATTTGATTTTGGAAATTAGGTTTGTACTTGCAGAAACTATCTTCTTGTCTGTTGTCTTATTCATCTTTCTTTGTTCTTTGAGTTGGGTAAAATCCCTGTAATGAAGGTTGAATGTGCAGAATGGTGTGTGCATGAATGTTTTTCTTTTCTTTTCATTTTGGGCATTATTTCTAATGCTATATTTCAATGATGATTTCAGCCAAGGGTAGAAGCTCCAATGGTGAATGCAAGAATTCGTAAGACTGTCCGAGCAACCCAAGCAAAGGTGGGCTATATTGGCCCTCCAACTGATTTTAACTACAATCATCAACATCTGGGTACAGGTCCTCAAACCCTTCTTGAAATTGCTGAGGGTCGCCATCCATTCTGCTCAGTCCTATTGAATGCGAAAAATCCGGCCATCATTGTCGGTGCTGGGCTCTTTGAACGCAAGGATAAGGATTCAGTTTTCTCTGCTGTTGAAACCATAGCCAAACTTGGAAAGGTTGTAAGACCTGACTGGAATGGTCTCAATGTTCTGCTTCTAAATGCTGCCCAAGCTGCTGCCCTTGACCTAGGTCTTGTGCCAGAATCTAGCGACAGCATCGAGTCTGCGAAGTTCTTATATCTCATGGGTGCTGATGATGTGAACTTGGAGAAGCTCCCAGCTGATGCTTTTGTTGTCTATCAGGGGCATCATGGCGATCGTAGTGTGTACCGGGCGAATGTTATTTTCCCTGCATCAGCTTTCACTGAGAAGGAAGGGACATATGAGAATACAGAAGGGTGCACACAGCAGACGTTACCAGCTGTCCCCACTGTTGGTGATGCTAGGGATGATTGGAAAATAATCAGAGCACTGTCTGAAGTGGCAGGAGTACGGCTACCATATGATACACTTGGGGCAATTCGGGCTCGTATTAAGGCTGTGGCACCCAATCTCTTGCACACGGACGAGAGGGAGCCAGCAATTGATTCCACCACATTGAAACCCGAGTTATTCCAGAAGATAAGCATGGCTCCATTTGGAACTTCTGTAGAGAACTTCTATATGACAGATTCCATCACTCGGGCTTCAAAAATAATGGCACAATGCAGTACAATGCTATTAAAGAAATGAAAGCATTGAATTGCTTATTTCTTAATAAAGGTATATAATTACTTCGATATTGCCAGGATTTTTGGTCCTTATTTTGGATTCTTTTGGAAACAGGAACTATTTTCTGGTGCCATAATAGAGTTGTGCTCATAAATGGCCGCTTGACTATTTGTCTCTCTGTTAACTCCTGTAATTTAAGTTTAGGCAACTTTGAGCAATCCTCTTGTACTTCATATTTTTTATTTTCCTCCAAGAGTTCAGTGCTGGTTTGGGGCATTTTGCTATTTTACCAGATTTCTACCTTCAATACGTTTTCAGTTTTGAATCCCCCAAAATTAGTATTTAAAATTAAAGGCGTATCTTAAACGATAAATTTTAGGGGATGCACGGTGCTGTATAATTGCAATTATATAGCTGTTGCTTATGTTACATGAACCAGAAAAATGGCATTTGCAATTAAATAACCTCCAAGTGTGTTAATTTTGTATACGGGTTTCACGGCCATACAGAGTTATGTACACAACTTGATTGAACTATTTTCAGTTGGAAACTTGGAATGAAATCAATGAATTCTTGTTCATAGACATGTTATAGTTTGCACTTCTGTACAGTGCAATTGGTTGATCCTGGTAATTAATTTAACTGAAAATTAGTGCTGTAAATGCATTGAATGGAACCGGATATGGGTAGATTCAAATTTGATAATCATGTTTACGATCAATAACGGTTGATATGAACCATTGTAAGTCTTTACAGTACAATGCCGACCACTCGAGGGTAGGGGTGCGGGGGGATTTAAGGACTGAACTTTCTGCATTTGTTTTTCATTTAATCCTTTTGTATTAATATATTTTTTGATAGAAGATAATATTTGATCTACATGCTTGAATACTTCAGTGTTTGAAATAATGTTTTCAAACTGTCTTGGACGGTCAGACTGTTTGGCCTGGGAACCATCCAGGTATTTTACCCAAATCCAGTCCCAGGCCAAAAACTGGTGAATTGGTTTGTTGGCCATTTTACTTTATTTTTTTATTGGAATGGGCTGTCCATTTGAACTGGACAGTCACTGGTGGCCAGGACCTATTTAAAAGTTCATTTGTGAGAAGTGACATCCAATGGACCCACTTAAAATTTAAAACCAAAATAATGAGAAGTGAAGTGACTCTCTTATAGCCCTGACAACTGGGGGNGGGGGGGGGGCATTCAAACCATCTATACTCTAGGATTGGAGGATCAGATCCCTCCGCAATTGGTAGTTTGGTCTGGTTTGACCTTAAAATGGTTTAGCTTGGTGTGATAATTCTTCAAACCATAATTTTTTTTTGGTTTGGTTTGGTTTTATAAATCAGATCAAAGCATAAACCATTTATTCATTTAACTTGTAATTTGATGCCTAATGCTCAGTTTGGAAGGAGTGCAAATGCAAATGTGTAGAGTGCAAAACCTTATATTTTGTATGTACTTGTATTATACATATTTGTACTCTTTCCATACTAAGCCTAAGGCTCAATTTGGAAACAAATACAAATTTATAGAGTACAAAATCTTACGTTTTATATATTATTTTTTAATATGTATTTATACTGTACATATTTGTATTTATACTCCTTCCAAATTAAGCCTAAGGAGTTGTTTATGTAATTATGTTTGAGAAAGTGTAAATATAATTTATATAATAGTACTAAGTGATACTTGTTAACATTTCAATTTGATTTTTGAATTATATTTGTTATCTATATGTAGGTATGCATGTTATTTGGGCTTTCTATTTGGGTTAAACCCAATAGAATGATTTAAACTGTATTAGAAACTAGACCAAACCGTAATAGAATGGTTTGGTTTGGTTTGGTTAGAGAATTTCTCAAACCATTAATGTACTTTTTTGGTCGATATCTTCTTCAAACTGATCCAAACCGGATCGTGAACACCCCTACGAACAGGTTGCTGGACTGTGGAGTAAATCAGGAAGACGAACCAGGTAGGTCATTCCCCTTTATCTCTATTCACTCTAACATTCTTGAAGAACAAAATCTCTCTTGGTGTTTTACAAATTACAATCCCTAGATTTTTATACAAAATCGTTCTAACCATTTGTATGTTCGGAACAATGTTTTCTTATTTCCTTTTAGTTTTTAGAACTCTATAGGCCTATATATTTGAATACATAAAGAAAAAATCTAGGAAAAAATGATCCATTTGTGAGACGTACTTATTTTTCTTAAAATTTTAGAGCGAAAACATTCTAATCTCAAATTTTTGTTTTAATTAGTTAAATGTTATGAAAATGCGTTCCCCTAATGATCAAATTCCTGCATCATCCGGCCCTGGCCAAAGAAATTGATTTCTCTGCATGTGTATGTTAGCTTTCTTTTATCATCTAAAGGTGTTTGGATCGTGTGTCAGGAATATAAGATTCGTGTGTACTTTATATTGAAGTGACAACTAAAGAATCGGGAAATGAGATGGGGTTGATGGGTTTCTTCCACTTACCCATGTTCGTAATATCTTCTTCTAACAGGCTTTTTCCTTAGTTTTGAGCTGATACAGATGCAGCCAAATGAACTGCTATTTCCCCCACCTCACAACCAGACAATTGGTCCTTGTCACGCTACCCTACAAAATGTACATGTACGTGGCTGTCGCCTTCTAGCTTCTGCCTGAAGCCATGAAGGTGGTCAGGCCAGGCCAGGCCAGGCCAGACCAGACCAGATATCTTTGCGTTTAGTTTGCTTCAAAACTAGGGCAAACTAGCTCGTCTCTGATAGTGGGCACCGTCTCTCTTCTGACTCTGAGTTCTGAGATGGATCATGAATTGAAAGAACCTAATCTACCTTGTCTATCTCTGTCACACTTACGCTTTGTCAAGGACTATCTCTGCTGGCTGCAGTGGTCGATAGGGTCTTGCAGTTGATAAGGGTTTTCCAATACGCGCTTGTAGTTGTAGCTTCAGAGCTCTACAACACTGAGAGTGAGAGGCCTTGTCACCTTTTGGTCCTGAACTCTCTGGCTCCCCAGAAATGGATATATAGATGCATGGTATCTGTCTCTGGAACACAGATTGTGAATAATTGTGATGGGCTCAACTCAATCCCTTATCATCACCATCTTTTGCCCACTGGATTCTCATGTTTTATATTTTTAGTGTCTCCGGAATAACGATTTCTTTCATTTATGACTTATATTTGGTTATAAGTTTTTCAAGTATCATGTCTTTTAGGCATCATAATCAAAATGGAATTAATGTCTAAAACTCAATGGTTTTGATAAACTTGAATGAGTTGGGCTCTCATGAAACTGAACTATCTTGGGATGGACTGGGCTTGGCTGGAAGCATATTTGGCCCAATCTCGTCAAACAAGGCCCACATCAAAACAAATATTTGATTGCAATAACAGGATCTTAATTTAATAGATGCTTTGTATTTCAAATAAATTTGCTTACCCAGAGGCTCTGATGAATGCTTTCACAAGGCTACCAACCACCACTAGACGAAATAAATAAGATCTCATGGGCCCCATTGGCTTGTCTTGACTAATTATGACCAGTCAATCCATTTCACCACTTTCTGCTGGCAAGATAATTTATTTAAAAGACTGATCACAGGAATAAGGAATTGCAAATCACATTGATCAAGATCACCAAACATGATCTATGAGGTGGGTCCCCTCCTAGCTTTATAGCTTCATTCAATAGGCAATAGTGCAGGTAGCTATCTCTCACAGCTGTCTACGTGGCTTGTTTCCAGAAGATTGAGATCTATCATGAGATAGGTAGGTTCTCAAGATGTCAACCGGTTCAAGAACAAACAAGGTTGATAAAATATCAAAAATGGGATGCAGAATGATAATAGATAATGTCTGAGAGAAGTAATGTCATCATGTTAAGCATCTGTTTGAGCCATCTCCAAGGGGGCCTACTTCTTTATTGAATCCCCTTGAGTAAGATCTGAAACTGAATGACTTATTGCTTAAATAGGCCATGAGCTACTTAATGGCTGAAAAGAATGTTTGGTTGAGTACTATAAATACCTGTAACCTGTCCTATAGATATTGTACTATATTGGTATTTTATCCACTACAAGGACAAAACAATAAAGAACTTAGCTCAACCACTTTCAGCCATTATCAACTGCCCCTTAGGTGAGGTAAGACAAATGGCTTGCTTTGCTTTGTGCTTGGGACATTGGGTCAATCAGCTTGGATTGAATGCAGGACGGATTTGGGTTTGGTTGGGCTGCTGTTCTACGCTTGGAAAATGAGCTTCAAAAAGCTATATAGGGTGGTAGAATAACCTAACCAACCTAAGCCATTACTGAGATCAGTAGGAATGATCAAGCATGTGAGATCACCTGGGCGTTCTGTCTTTTTATAATATAATATAATAATAATAATAATAATAATGATAATATATATCCTGCAAAGATCAAGAAGCACGTGCTACCTTACCTTGGATTGATCCAATACATGGCATCTTAGGGTATATTCTCTCATTGGAGATGTAGCCACTTGTTTATCTCTTTCATATTGATTACCAGTTTTGCACTTATTCAGTCTTCAAGCTTCTATTAAACAATGAATCTCCCCTCTTTATAGGGTTTATAGGGTTGTTGTATAGAGCCCTATATTTCATTGATTGTGCAGGAGAACCACAGACCATCTTTACTTTGTTCTGGCTTTGACCTTCTCCTTAGCTGGCAGTTTACTTGGAAAAGCTAGCTAGGACTTCTTGTGATAAGGATTAGCTGATCCTCTTTACCATATTTTCAATGTTTCTCTTTTCTATTCTATATATCTGTACCAAGCTTCCAATTTTCCCTACCGGTAACTGTTTTAGGCCATTAGGGGTGTAAACGGATCGAATTCGACTTTGATTAGAAAATTCGATATCCAAATTTTATTAGATATCCGACACATACTGAAAATTAATATTTGAATTTGAATTCAACTAAATATTCGAATATTCGATTCGATTTGAATTTGATTAATTATTATTTTTAGATAATTAATAAATATACAAATAAATATTTTATTGATATAAAGTATATAAATATATAAATTATATAAAATATTTTATATATTATATATAAGAATTAAATAATCGATCGAATTCGGATATTTATCGAATCAAATCAGGTCATATCCAAATTCGAATCCGATTAACTATTCGATAAGAATAAGATATTCGAATTCGACCCAATATATATTTGAATTATCCGAATTCGATTTAATTATGCCAAATATCGAATTCAAAATGAATTTTCGAATATCATTGACACCCTACAGGCCATGG